CGCAGCCTCGGGAGCTGCGGGAGCTGCGAAAGCTGCGGCCGCCGCGGCGTTCGGGGAATCGGCGCGGCAGGTAGGTAGGGCCGCCGAAGGTTGCGGCGGTGCGGAGGCTGAGGCCGGGAGAGCCCAGCCTCCGGTCTGCCTCGTCCGCCGGCTGTCCTTTTGGTCTGCTGGGCCTTTCCCTAGCAGGCCGCCCGCCGGAGGTGCGTTTCGAGGCTCCTCTTCACGGTATGCCCGATCTCTGCTCTGAGACACCGGATTGCAGGAAGGGGCGGACGCCCCCGCAACTGCGTGGCGCCCTCTCGGCGACCACTCCGCTGGCAGCGCTGCAGACTCTGGGGCGGCCTCGGGTTTCGAGGGATGATGGTGCAGCTTCGGGTCTGCGAGCGAGCGAAGGAAGGCGTGTCCCGGAAAGGCTGTCCTGGGAGTAGCTGGAAGCCAGGTGACGCCGGCGACAGTCACTTCTCAGTCTCTCCTAGTGGGAGCGCCTGACTTGGCATCGGCCCTTCGGCTAGCTCATAGCAACTACGTGCTAGGTGTTTACAGGCTGTTTTCCCCACCTAATCCTTAGAGCTGCGCTGTCCAGAAGACATAATGCAAACCGCATTGTAAATTAATGCATTTTCTACTAGCCACATGAAACCGGTGAAATCAGTTTTAATATTCTATTTTATTTAACCCAATTTATCAAAAAATTCAACCTGTAGTTAATATGAATTGAAGTTAATTTTAGTAGTACAGTTTATTTAACCTAGTTTGTCAAAAAACGTTTCAACAGGTAATAAATGTGAGAGTTATCAAGGAGATATTTCACCTTCTCTCTGTGGTACTAGTCTTTGAACTTCTTTGTGTGAAAGGCTTGAACTAGCCACATTTCGAGTGAGCATTAGCCAGATGTGGCTAATGGTTACTGTATCGGGCAACACAATTTTAGAGAGTTAGGTTAAGGTTTGGAGGTTTGTTTTGTTTTGGATTTGGAAGTCTGAAGTAGTAGTTTAGGATCTTTGGCCAAGTAAAATTAATGAAGAAATGGTTCTATCTGAAACTAGCTCGGGAGTATACAGTTTTGTCCTTACAAACCTCGAGTTGCTCCTGCGTGGAAATCTTCTCACCCTAGGTGAGAATGAATCTTTTTCAGTAGCTTCATTTTTCAGTAGCTTCACTGACTACCTGAGTGTTATTAAGACATTTCCCCTAAGCTAGAATCCTAAAAAATGGTGCCTGAATGTGAGTGTAGTTCTAATACTATAAAATGTAGTTTGCATTAACAAAAACTTCTTCAGATGCTAGTCTTTATATGGTATTGTTTTTTCACCTACTTAAGAAGGGGGAAGATTGTAAATTTTAAAGGAATTTGAGTGGACCTCAGAGCCATATGACGTCTCACCTGTGTTTCTGTTTCTAGAGGCTGTTTTCAGTCTCACGGTGGCCGGCACGCTGCGGGTTTGTGCGCCGGAGGCTGTGGAAGAGCAGTGTTAGCTCATCTCTGGAAGGTTGAGAAACACAAAACTTACACACGCATCTTTTGTCATAAAGAAATTTGAATTACAAATTTCAACCAGCAAACAAAACATGTTTTTTTTGCTTTTGCTCAGTTTTTATATATTGCCTTACACATTTTTTTTCAAAAACATGATTAAAAGCAACATCTGAGTAGAAATTGTTAGATTTTAAATAACAATTTATTTTAAAAAGTTTTAAATTTTACCAGCCTAAAGAAAGTATAAACCAAGTAAGTGTACTTTAAAGCTGGGGGTGGGTTTCTTTGATTTGAATAATCAGAAACTTTTTGTTTGTTGAACTTTACCATCTGAGCAGTTCTTTCTATTTCTCAGGACAAGTGCACTAGCTCCAAACTGCTGTATTTGTCAGTGATAAATTTCAGCATTTGTCATTGAAGTGGAACAATAGTTGTATAAAGCCTGAAATGGAAAATAGTGATATTAGCTCAAGAACTACAAACTAGAAAGCTTTTCACTGTGAAATACAGTACACTGCTTCTCATCATGTATTTTCCAGGTACTTCTGACATGTGAAATAAAGGAAACCTTGCTAATTTATTTGACTGAACAAATACACTTTGATAATTTTTTATATTTACATAAACTTACTTTTGCAAATGTAAAATTAGAGCATTTCATTTGTTCTGTGGAGTCTGTTCCATTGTACATCACTACAGATGTTTCACTTTCTAGTACAAGCGTTTTAAGTTATGAACACGTGGAGAACTTAGCCACTTGGGATGATTGATTATAGACCAGTGTTAGTAGGTTAAATTGCTTTAAAGTGGTGCCAAGTCCCAACGTCTGATGTGATGGGTTGTTTTATACATAAGAAATTTTTCTAATTTAAATACCAGAAATATAAAACTCAAGTGTATTTCTTTAGGTTTACTTGATTTCTGTAAATTGTGCATTACATTGCAGAATATTATATCACTGTATATTAAAACATGAACTTCATAGCTTTGTTAATTGAAGTAGAATAAACATCTACAAAAGGTTAAAAAAAAAGGAAGGGAGGAGGTAACCTGCTGCAAGAAGGAATTCAGGGGCAATACTAATTGATTAGGAAGCCACTTTTCATGTTCAGTTGAATCTAGGCCTGTTGACGTATATACTTGAAGTGAACCTTTTAGTCCACAGCACTTGATGTGTTTTCCATTTGATTCTTCCTTCTGTTACTATAATTGTTTTCGTCACTCCTTCAGCTTAGCTTAGCTCTAATAGCAAAATAAACATACCTATACTGATTTACCAGATAAATGTTTTTTGAAAAGAGGCTCTTTGTTGTGGCTTATAGTGCTATTATTTATTTTCACATTCTTGTTAAAAAATAAGTATTCAAACAAAAAGAAGGCTGTAGAGCAAAAAGTAAAAAGTCACATTCACATTCCCCGAAAGTAACTGGTAAATTTCTGGTGTATTCTTTCTGGGTTGTCATATGCATATATAATCCTTCTTATTAAACACAAACAAGTTCATCCTATAGTTTTCTCACTTTCCCTTTTTACTCTCTCATTCACATTCCTGAAGCAGAAGCATTTCTGGGAACCCCAGGTGTATGCCTAGGGGTTTGACCACAGCCAGTGATGGGGAGACCTGGGTGAAAAGGGAGGTTGCTGTCTAGTACTCCTTCATTGGTTTGTCAGAACTGAGAAATCTGAAGTGCCATGTAGGGAAGGGTGTAAGAGATGGGAGCCTGGCTCAGTGTTTAGAATCAGGCCTCAAACCAGGCCATTCAGCAGCTTCTCTGACCAGACGTTTAACCAGAATCTCAGCTTCAGTATTATTACAGGAGTTAAAATTTCATTACTGCTTGTTCATTTATTTATTTAGCATTTCTGCTAACAAGAAGCTGTAGGCTAAAGGTTATAGCAGTGAAAGATACACACTGCCTACTCCCATGTTGCTACACCTTTTTGAGGAAGGTGAGAGACTAAATTCCAACTGTAATATATGCTTTGAAAAAGTTCTGGGTGCTACGGGAGTATATAAAAAGAAAACTGCCACTAAAAACAGGCCCCAAGGAACAAGATAAGCAGATTTATAGTTTGGTTAACCAGAGAATGTAATAAAATGTTAATTGACGTTTCATCTCATAATTTCCTGGTGTTAGGAAACTGTCTTTCCAGATCTTCGGAGTTTGTTAAATGGAATTTGTATAATTGACAGTGAACATTTTCTAACTTGCAGATTTACTGTTATCTGTAAAAATGAAAAGTTTGCAAAGTTCAGAGAATAACTCTCACTTGAAATTGTTGGAAATTTTGAATCAAATTATTTTCTGGTTGATTTTACCCATCAATACCTCCCTTAACCATTACCCACCCCACCATTTCCCCACCTCGCCAAGGAGAGGTTAGAATCACATGTCATAAATTCTTTCACAGATTTTTTACTTGCTAATTTTTTACTTGCTAATCCCCTTAAGATGAGGAGTTGACAAACTATAGCCTGTGAGCCAGATCCCACCAGCCACTGATTTATCTAAAGTTTTATGGGAACGTAGCCCAAGCTTCATTATGTATTGTTCATGGCTGTTCACTCTTGAAGAGTTCAGTAGTTGTGACAAATTACTTGCCTGGCACAGCCTCAAATATTTACTATCTGTCCATTACAGAAAAGTTTGCTCATTCCTGCTGAAGGTAATCCATCTAAAACTTGAGTTTTACTATATCAAAAATTAATACTAAATTTTTAAAGGAAAGTCCTTAAATAAAAGTCTCTTTAATAAAAATATATGAAATGTGACGATTAGAAGAAATAAAATGCCATTTTAAATTACATATTACGCATAGAGAATATTACTCAGAGTTCTGTTTATACTTAACTAACTTTGGTATTAGAATGAAAAATACGAATCATGTTTCAGCCTTCCCCTTTGTAGATTTCTTTTTTGATTTAGCCTTTTGGAAAAATATAGCCAAGAGTCAGTTAATAGAGATAGTAGATAAGTTTATACCAGCTATAATGTCCCAGCTAGAATGTTTTTATTTATTAGAGTTGCCTAAGGAAGACAGAGTAGTTAAACCAGTGAGAGACACACCTTGTCCTTTGCCTGTATCTTAGAAAACAAAAATTAAGTGAATAAGAGATTGTTAGAGGGAAAATGAGAAGCTGCTTTGGCTCTGATGGGGGTGGGTTGGGGGTGGAAAGGGACATGGTGATGTACTGTGAAAGGTCTCAGCTCTGTACATTGACTGGGACTGTTGCTTGGGCATCATCCAGTTAGTATGAGGATTGGTGTTCTAACCCAGATCCTCTGGCTTTCCCTTGCCTGTAAAGAGATCCAAAATGTCATGGTCCAAAAGGAGACATTGATGTCAGGACAACCATAAACCAAATCTTACATGAAGATGAGATTGGGTAGGAATGGCTCACCATGCCTGGAAGCTGGAGGTAGAAGAAAGGTGGCCTGGGTGAATTATTTGTTGTCTATCTTATTTGTGGACACAGTAAATTGGCTGGTCATCCTTTAGTAAGGGCTGGGATTTCCTTAAAACCTCAGGACAGGCTAGAGAGAATTGTGTTTTGTTTTTTTTTTCAAGATAGATATCCCATGCTATGAAGGTTTTCAAGGTTTCACTTTGCTGTACAGCAGTTATAGGTGTTGTCAATGATGTCCACATGCATCATGGAACAACCCATGTGTATTTGGGTTGAATATACCTGGGTTCAAATCCTGCCTAATGACATCTTACCTTTGGGAAGTGAAAGACAGAGAAGAACCATGTCTGTTTTCTAAGGACCTTACTTATAAAGGATTAAGAGGAAACAGTGCATAAAAATAAAGTTACTTATACTTGTGTAGCTGGACAATTCTAGTCGACTAGTTTTCTCAGTATAATTTCATCTCTGCAAATGCAGTTCCAGGAACTTTTCTAGTGAGTGAACAGTCATGGGTTTGAATTATGTTTGGTCATATTTATAAGGGTAAGAATCCTTATAAAGGACAAAATGCTTGAAATCTGGACAATGGTAGGGAATCCCACTGTCATGGATTCTAATCATGGCAGTGCTGTATCATTTTGCTTTGGTTTAGTTTAAAATTTTACCAATAACATGTGAACATATTCTCATCAAAAAACACAAACCAAACAACAAAATACGAAAAGAATAAAAAGGTCCCTCTTACCACCCCCTTACCTGTACCTCCTCCCCCTTCTGTGTTCTTAACCCCAAGAGTAACCACCATTGCCAGATTTTTCTTTACAATTACTTCTATTGTGCCTTTTTGAAGTCTTCTAGTACAGAGATGCAACAAAGGCTTTCTTAGGAATTTAAGTTTGAGGCAAGATGATAGGGAAGAGTTCTTCATCCTCTCTCACAATATGCATTTACTCTGAGTTTGCAGCATCAGCTGTATGTATGAGATAAAATTAGTATTTCTCTAGGAGTGAAATTTGGATGTAAGTAGAATTCCATAGACTATTATAGTTTTAAAATTCATGAAATTAGGTGCCTCGTTAGCGCAGTAGGTAGCGCGTCAGTCTCATAAAATTCATGAAATCTTTTTACTGTCAGGAAACTCTGTTGTCACCTATGTATTAGTGACTGAGAAATCTGGAAGTTTAGCAATAGAACGCTGATCGCCTGCTCTCCAGATTTGGTTTATAGATGAGTTTTATTTGGCCTGCACAGTGCTCTAAAAATTTTTTCATTTAAATGTCTTTAGTTGCGGCATGCTTTCTCCAAGGGTCTATCTACCCTTCCATGTGTATATATCTTTACTCTTTTTTGGTACCTGCTTGGCTCTAAAAGGCATTTGAACTTTGGACTCCTGTTTTGGTAAAAGGAGAGGTTCCAAGTTAAGTTGAACTGTTTTATTTTTGCTCACACATAGCTAACTAAGCTCAATCCAGAGACTTAGCAGAGTTCCCTAATAGAAAATGTTATTTTATTTTGCATATCTAATATATGTATATGTGCATCTGTATGATTTTCCTTTAATATTACAGATTAACCCTAAAAGAATGATTACCATTATTCTTTAAAATTATTGCTGTCCAGCATGTCTTCACATATTATACAGCATTGGAATTGCTGTGACTTGAAGTGTGGTGCTTGATTTCTTAGCTGTTAACTTAAACAAAAAATTGAGTTGGTTATGTTCTATTTTTTTAACCTTGGTAGTGAGTATGCAGACTTTCACTATATTATTCATTAAACTTTTCATGTATGCTGTAAATATTCTTTTGTGTGTATGATCTGTTTTATTTTTTAAAAATTAAAGATTGGCTTATATTTCTTTATTCCCTACAATAAAGCAGTCAAATTTTGTTGTTGTTGTAATAAGAAAGTAAATTAATCTCACTTGAAACTTTTATTTTCTTATTATTGACATTAGATGAGTAATGAAAGAGGCTTTGAAAATGTAGAACTGGGAGTCATAGGAAAAAAGAAGAAAGTCCCAAGGAGAGTCATCCACTTTGTTAGTGGAGAAACAATGGAAGAATACAGCACCGATGAAGATGAGGTCGATAGCCTGGAGAAGAAAGACGTGTTGCCTACTATTGATCCGGTAGGTTTGTTGATTCATGATGATCCTTTTGTCAGTGGGTTTTGTTTTGACTGATTTGTTCCCCTTAAACAATGAATGGAAGGGACATTTTGAGGTCTAAATCAACTATATTTTGATTATAAAATTGTGCGTTATGATTCTGGTAGAAAACAGTATTTTTATACAATGTGGATGGAAATATTTTCTGCATTTCAATAGCCTGAATAGTTTATGTTTGAGTGTCAGAGTTCTTTGTCAGTATAGCACATCTTACATGCTATTACAAAGTTGCTACTTGAATATTTAACTAAAAAAAATCTTGAACAGGCAGAATTTAATTTCACATTGGATTTCAAGAAATCTACCTATAAAATCTCTTTTCCTCTTTTACATTTCTTTCACAACATCCATCCTTAAAAAAAAAAGTTGTGTTAACACTTAACATGTGAACTACTCCACAAAATTGTAAACATATATGGTATTAGCTTTAGGCACAGCGTGGTACAGGAGATCTCTAGAATTTAATCATCTTGCATAACTGAAACTGATACCCCTTGAATAATAATTCTCCATTTCCCCACCGCTTCTGAGCACCTGGCAGCCACCATTCTACTCTCTGCTTCTATGTGTTGCATTATTTTAGATACCTGATGTGAGTGGAATCATGCAGTATTTGTCCTTCTGTGACTGGTTAATTTCACTTAACATAATGTCCTCAAGATTCATCCACGTTGTTGCAAATGGCAAGATTTCATTCCTTTTTATGGCTGAATATATATATACAAAAAATATGTATGTACAGGGGTTTCAGTTTCTCCACATCCTCACCAACAGTTATCTTTTTTTTAAAAATAATCATCATCCTGACAGATGTTAATAACTGAAGACAAACCCAGTTTCACTTAATGTGAGGAGACTTTCCATTTTCTATTTGCTTCTAATGCATTATAAATCTGATAGGACAAAGACATTTGGAAGAGATATTGTCCTATATTTACATAGTAGATTTGTAGAACAGGCCCGATTTAAAAAAAAAACCTGATACTTAAAGATTTAAGACTAATACTCCTGACATATGATACTTGTCAAAAATGGAGACCTATGTCTTTTTATAATCTTATGATAATTATTTTCCTTAGATTTTACTTTAGATATGCCTTAGGAATAATCATATTTCTGGTAATTCCTTTAACCATTGATTTAGTTTCACTTAGGTTTCCTCAAATATGTGTATATGTATGTATCTAATTATGCATATTAGAAACTTTGATTATGTACATAATTTTCTCCTCTATAAATGGATTGATGCCTTTTGTAATATAGTCAGAACTTAAAATTATCTGGATCATTTTTGCTTACCAAATTTTAAAAAAGGAAAAGGACAGTATATTGTAGTGAAGGTACAAGGGCATGGACAACCTCATATATTACTGCTGAATATTTGTTGGTAAATTTTCTGGTGTTAAGTTTTTCATTGTAAAGGAAGAGCTTTTCAAATGATTATATTTTTTACCTAGTTATTCCACCTTTAGGAACTCAAACATTTGGGAAATATGCTTAGTATTTCAATATAGTAAATGGGAAAAACAGCAGGATAGAAAAAGCATAACTGTTGTAAATCACATATATGCCTAGGAAAAGACTGGGAAAATATATAAGATGTCAATTATGGATGATAGAAAAATGGGTGACTTAAATTTTTGTTATACTTTTTCCATTTTCTAAGTGTTTTGAAATAAATAAGCATTACTTTTATAATTTAAAAATAAGTTGTTTAAAAACTAAAGTGAAAGATAGCAAGTCTTAATAGATCCCTATTAAGGAAGAGATGGGTAATTATTCAGAAAGAAATGGATACTTAAATTTTTGAAAAAAGAAATGAACCTACTTGAGTTTGTACCCATAAATTGGAAGTTTTGAAGACTCCAGATCTTGTCCCTGTTCTCCTGTTTACTGGACTGTTGGTGGTGGTAGGGATGCTGGCAGTCAGTGGTGGCAGGGTTTCAGTGTAGACTGTGGGTCAGTGTCTAAACAAAGGGCCCTGTCCATTCATTCTGTATACCTGTATGTGATAATGAAGATGTCATTCAGGAATTCTTATCCAGTGTCTCAGCTCTGGAGCAGATTTGACTCTGGTAGTTACAGCCTGAATATTAGCAATTATTCTGTCTAGAAACACCCCAGGAGAATTGGTCCACTGAGAAATATATGCTTTCCTCCAAAAAAGCATGCTGAGTCCTTTTCTAAGTCGTTTCTTGGCCCTATCATTTATTATGTGTTACAGAAATTGATTCTAAGCTCTCCCATTTTGCTGTAAAAAAAAAGTAAGTAAACACTAGAGTCTGAGCATCTTAAACAGAGCCCCTAAACTAACTCTTATCCCCACATAAGAGACACCTCCTGCTCTGAGTATAGAAGATACAGCAGATTTGAAAAGTATTTTCTTGAATATATTTGTTTGCTTAGACACCTATTCTTGTGTAAATAGAGACTAAAGAGCTACCTTACTTGTGTGTTTTTTCACAAATACTGTCACAGAAATTGGTATACTTACTTTTCATTGAAAGACTGTTAAGTGTTTCCTCTTCCCTACTTTAGCCATCTGCCGGTCTTACATATACTTCTTTCTAAAAAATATTTAAAATATATAACTTTAATTTTTGCAGTAACTTGCATAAGAAGTGGGTGAGGCAGTGGCCACTCAAAATGACTTTGAAAACTCTCAGGGGAAAAATTTTCCTTAAGTAAGAAGAAGAGGAAATAACACTAAAATTGACAACCACTTCAGCTTTAAATAATCAGAAAAGGAAAATCCTTTCATTTCACCGATGGAGAAGAAAGAGTTATTTCCAGTGTCTACAGTTTTCAGTCTTAAAGTATTCTTATATTTGCTTTTTTTAATGCTCTTATAATCATCAGCATATCTTATCTAAGAAGATTAAGGACATGTTTATCTTTTCTTTTCTCCCCAGAACCAATGTTAAAACAATTTGATTGATTGCAGGCTCTATACAATGTTTCCTTGTCATAAAAAAAGATACTAGAACCATTAGTGATGCTAGTATTACCAGTTGCATCCACAGAGGCAAACTGTCATCTCTGTGGCAAGCTTTACCAAAGTATTCTATGGCATTACAGCACCAAGATTAACTATGGAGGTGTGTAGTGTAGATTGCATTCTGCCAGTGGTCCTAGCCTACCAAATATATACTTAACTTTTTTTCAATTATATGGTCTGGTCCCTTATTAATCCTTGAAAAAACGAAAAACTCATCTTGCCGCTTATTGGTTACTTACTGTCCCATCATTCAAAGTTTATTTGATATGCCCTTAGTTACCCTGTTTAATTTCTCTGAATCTTAATTTCCCCACTAAACCATAAGTATGTTGTACTATTTGATTTCTTAGATCCCTTTCCGTTGAGTGTACACACTCTCTGATGTGCTTTTGAATGATGAAGACAAAAAAGCAGCAAGACAGGAGAAAGGAAGGCTCTGAATTATCAGCTCATAAATAATCAAGATTGTGACTTGACAACTCCATTTCCATGACTGCTGCTTTTTTGGTGGTTATTCCATGGGCTTAAGGTGGTGGTAGTTATATGGGTGGATGTAAACTGTCTTTGTGGCATTCTGTCTTCAAAGCTTTTCATTTTTTTTTATTGGATTGTAGTCTGTTTGTAGTACTATCTGTAGAATATTCTATGTGCCCACCAAATATTTGATTACTTCTTTCTGGCCTGAATGCACAGAATGAGTTGAGGTATGAACATTGCTAACCTAACCTCTTGTTGCAGACAAAACTTACCTGGGGCCCCTACTTATGGTTTTACATGCTTCGTGCTGCCACATCAACCCTGTCAGGTATTGCTTTTCGGTTTGAATATTGTATAACTACTATAATATGTTCCAAGAACCAGAGCTTTGCCAAATGGGGTGTTTCAAAAGTGAAGGAGATACAGTAGTGAGCTATCATTGAAAGATATTAACCTAACTTGTACTTCACCATAGAACATTCTTCAGCTTCTGGATATGCTTTACAAAAAAAAAGACAAAAATAGCTGTATTAATTTTGATACAATTTTCATGTTCTTGAACCTTTTCTGTTAGCAGTTATTTAGCCATTTTGTCATTTAGTTCTCTGGTATCATTCTCGTTCTGTTTGACTGCTTGTTCTAAAGCCTGTAGTTATCATTCATTTATGTTTTATTTTATTAATATTTCATTTCTTAAGTTGATATGTAACTAAATCATATTTGAAGAAAATGATCAACTTATGACTTAGTCATACTAATTTTAAGTATGTGTTTTATTTCTTTTTTGGGGGGATAATTAGGTTTATTTTTTAAGAGTTTATTTATTTGTTTATTATTATTTTTTTAATGAAGGTACAGGGGATTGAACCCAGGACCTCATGCACGCTAAGCATGCACTCTACCACTGAGCTATATACCCTATCCCCCTTAAATATGCATTTTAAATCATAAAGCTTTTTCTGCTTCCTGTTTTAACTCCCTTGTAGCTTCTATCACTTTGTGCCTTTTATTAGATCTAAGTTTGAACAGTAATTCATTCAACAAACATTTACTGAGCACTCAGTATATGCTAGACAGTCTGGTGTAATGAAAAGATCATCAGTGAGTATTTTTTTAATATTTCATTTGTTTATTATTATAGTATTCCATTATTTTATTGGAGGGAAGGTAATTAGACTTTCTTATTTTTAGAGGAGGTACTGGGGATTGAACCCAGGGCCTCATGCATGCTAAGCATGTACTCTACCACTTGAGCTATACCCTTCCCCCTAATGAAAAGAACATGAGCTTTACATTCAGACCTGGACTGAATTATGGATCTGCTTTGTCAGCTTGGGCGAGTTCTTCAACCACTTTGAGTCTAATCTTTCACAGTGCCTGGCACATGGCAGGCACTCAGCCAGTGTTATAGTATAAGCCATTCCTTTCTTCCAGCTCAATGATATCCCAACCCTCTAAGAGTGTGTATTTTTCTTGAAGAAATAGACATCTAACATAATTATAGTGCCTGATGATAAGTGTTATAGTAAGAGGTATAGCAATGTTATTGGGAGCCCAGAAGGATCCACTGGTGCTTCTTCGGGGGAATCAAGGAAGGTTTACCAAAGAGATGAACTGAATGTTCATAATCTTCCTGAGGGCAGGGATTATAACGTCTATACCTTGCACATAGAAAGGGCTCAAGAAATGTTTATAGAATTATGTAAGCCCTTTAACTTCTGTATTTTTAGTGTGTGACTTTCTTGGAGAGAAGATTGCATCTGTTTTGGGGATCAGCACCCCAAAATACCAATATGCCATTGATGAATATTACCGGATGAAGAAGGAGGTATGTCTCCCTTTTACATTTTCTTGATTCAGTTTGGTTTGCTGTGGACTTGATGGGTTGTGTAATGAACATGTGTTATCCTCTAGCTGCCCCAAAGATAGCTCCCTTATGCTACACATTTCGTTCTGGAGTCATTAATTTCTTTATCAAATTAGCTTGCATTTTAAAATCTTTTAATACTGAAATTTCCCTAGGATCTATGTACAAAATTAAGCTAGATTTCATTGTGTAGGTGCTATGTGAGGTGCCTTATATATGTTACCTTATTTAATCCTCACACACCTCTTTGAATTATTATTCTCATTTTAAGATAAGGAAACAAGACCCATTCTCTGTGGTTAGGACACATAAACTGGCTGTAGGGGAAGTGAAAGGGGTTTGATGCACAGAAAACTACCAGTACTAAAAGTGTGTAAGTGCCAATCGTTAAGGCACAAAGATATGAGGCAATTTTCTGTGCAGATGTAGGTTTCAGGTGCAGTGAGGTCTTAGGGTGAGGGCAAAGTGAGTTGTTTAGCTTTAAAGAACAAGAAAGTTTTAGCAGTTAAGAGTGTGGGCTCAATAACCAAAGGTCTCAGTTCAAATTCTGCTCTACCACTTCGAACTTTGTAACTTTGAGCAAGATACTTGACCTATATAAGCCACGGTTTCCTCATCTTTGTAATGAGGAGAATTGCAGCATCCATGCACAGCATTGCTCTAAGGCTTAAATGAGTTAATACGTAAAATGCTTAGGCTAGTACCTAGTGTATATCTGTGAGCTTGAAATAAATGTTAGAATCTTTCATTATTCTCCTTCAAGTAAATGACGAGGGCAATTTAGATAAAGCTAGAATGTAGAGGCATGAAGATAAATGTATAAACAATCGTTATGTTTGAGGAAATGACAAGAATAGTACTTTATTGTCTCTGAGCATAGAGATGAAGCTAGAAAGGCCAGCTGACTATATTTGTTATGTGGTTCCAAAAATGTTTTATGAGCAAATGAGTGTTTTTCACACTACTAGCCTTGTTTAGAGCTTCATTACCTCATCCGGACTGTTCTAACAGTCTCTCTCACTTTCTCCTCCACTCTCAGGCAGCTCTATTAGTCCTCCCGGCAGGTTACACACTCTGTACTGAAGACCCACACTGCAGGGGCCAGAGCAAAGGCTGCCATTTTCTCCATGAATTTAGTGGTTCTGGAACTGGAAGTTACTGACTCTGAATCTCTACAGTCTTATTCCTTTATGTCTTAATATTATTTTTACATGTCTTAGCTTCCCTCCTAGACTGTAAACTTCTTGAGGGCAGGGGCTGCCTTACCTCTCTACTAGGTCCTTATGAAAACAATAACCATGCTGCTATACCATTGAAGTGAATAGACCACCCTATTCCACGGAAAAGGTTGACACTCTCTAATTGTACTGATACAACATTTAGCTAATTTTTAAATTTAGATTAGAATTAATCTGAAGAGATACAGTCCATGTCAAAGTTAATTCAGGCCTCATCTAAGGTAAGCAGTGCTCTCCCATGTTTTAATAATAATTTCACTGTATATACTTCATATACAATAGTTTTTATTTCAGTTTGGAAACTGGGGAAAGGGAAGGCTGTCTTGTCTTAATTGGACCAAACTGAATTGGACATAACACTAATAATCTTTTGGTTAAAAAAAGCACAAGCTTGTACCCAGAAGGAAATCTACTTCAGGATGACACCTGCACTCCAATGTTCATAGCAGCACTATTTACAATACCCAAAACATGGAAACAGCCTAAATATCCATCAACAGGTG